ACTGGTGCTGCAAAATTTAATAAATAATGAGGGCAAATAATCTTTCGCTTACTAGGTGTCGCTAGTTGGGACTGAGGTGAAGTCTTTTGTCACAATGCTATTTAAATAAGAAATATTTTTTAAGTAAATGTGAGTATTATATCAATAAACAAAAGAATCCCTCAGTTAAGTTAATGTTTTTTTTATTTTTTTATAGGATAAGGGTGACAAACGAGCACACAGTCCACCTGATGGTAAGTGGTTGCTGCGGCCCATAGACATCTACATCTATCCTCTATTACAAATCAAAATGTAGATGCGTTGTCACCCGTGGGGACTAAGATGGAATGCCTCATTTCCAGTAAAAAGGGCCTCCGGCCACCTGTACTCACCAAGCGAAACGCAGAGGTAAACCTCTACTTCACGCTGGTTTTCTGTGAGGTCGTGGTACCACCCCGGTTCGAGCCGGCCCATCCGTGCGACAGCAAAAGCTGCCGCGTGGCTCTACCACTGTTGACTCTTTTAAAAGAACATTTTAACTCTTTAAAAGAAAAAATTCTACTTTGAGGAATATCCGCAGATAGTTTAATCACTTCTAATCTAAGTAATATAAAATATAACTAATATTTCAGAAAGAAATATTAATCTTACCACCATACTAATTTCCGTCGCAATGAAATATGTCAAATATTTCATCGAAATCCAAATTGGCGCCGTCCTGTCGTTACTAAAAGCCGTGAATGGTCATTGGTTAAATTTTGATAGCCTCGAACACATGTGCAGAGTAATATGCCTCTCGATATACTATAGCACACATTTAAGAAAGTGTGTGCATCGATTTTGCGATATATTTTTTACTCTCCTATCCATTATCGGACAACTAGGCGGTCGACAGGGTAAAATTCTGATGTTAAAACACCATGCATTCGAACTAAATGATTTGCTTTGGCATTTGTAATGCGTACAGTACAGAAGTGGAAAAATATGCCATCAGATTTTCTACGATCACTATGGCGGTGTCTTCAAGGCTTTGTTTAAGCAAAGCTAGTGTGCTTTACTTTCCTCGTTATAACCTTCTTTTGTGTCATGTTAATCCTTTTTAGGCTGTGTAGGAAGGTGCGTCTTGTGTTTTGACGTGTCTTGCCTTAGGATGCATAGGTTCTTCCTTAGGTTGTTGTTCATTGATGGTGCCGCAAAGGAGCTATTGCAAGTTGTGATCCTTAATTAGTAGCTCAATGGATTGATGTAGTAATTCTATTTTTAATCATTACTGTACGTGGTAGGGTCACGCAGTAACTATATTATGGTTGTAGCATGAATGGATCGGCTCGACCGGGGTAGGACCACGCTCTCACAGATTACCAGCGCAAAATAGCAGCTCAATGCTGCTGTGTTTCGTATGGTGAGTGTAGAAAACCGGAGACCTTTTTTACTCGCCTCGTTTCCAAGGCATTCCATCATAGTCGTCAGGAATGACAACGCATCTGCATTTCGATTCTTAATCGAGTATAAATGTACATGTCTGGAATGTGTGCTCGGTTGTCACCCTTATACTATAGAAAAAGATCAGGGATACTAGGCTAAGGCGAGTCATATTTAAAAAAAAACCTTGTGTTAGTTAAGTTAACGACGGGCTATTTTCCGCAACTGCATGTCTAAGCACGTATTTTGCGTGTAGGCAGGAATATTATGATTATTCGTGGCATGAAATCTCCTCGAAGAAGTTTAACAGAACAAGTGGTAAAATTAAAAATTTTGTACAACCGACTTCAATATAAATAAAATGAGAAAACATAATTAATGTAGTCAGTCAATTAAATACGCACTATTAAGGATTACTCAAAAACTACTGGTCAGATCTTGATCAAATTTATATGGGACCACATGAGAAGCACTAGCTTTCAAATAAAAAAGAATCATCAAAATCGGTACAATTAGAAAAGGTTCTGAGATAACATACATAAAAAAGTACAGTCCAATTGAGAAATTCTTCCTTTTTTAGAAGTAGGTTGAGAAACTCATTACACACATTGCACATTACACAGTCATTGATAACGAAGCGTACGTAATGAGGTCACGGTCAACACTATCAGCTGTCAGCCGGGCGAGTGGACGTAGGTACTTAACGGTGTAACGGTAAACAGAAGGGATGGGCGCGGGAAGTCGCGCGACATCGTATCTTACCGAGAGACCCTTACGAATGTGTGCGTGCGTAAAATAGTACGCGTCAGATATTTAGAATGACAATCAGTTAAAATTATTGCAAAATAACCCCATATAATACCCTGTGTACTGTACCTGTATAATGTAATAATAGTATATTCTAGAAGTTACAGTTAATAGAGGAAAAATATTTACATTAATTAACATTACCGTTACAGTCTATCAAAAATTCACTGCTTATCATAGGCCTCCCCCATAGATTGCTTCTTAGGTGTGATTGCAATTGCAGTATTTTTAATTTAGTTTTTATTTGGAAGATGATTGATTAAGAATCAAATACAGTTGTTACTCCATAATTCTTCGTTTCTTTTTATTAAACTAAAAAGATAAACAAACTTACAGTCTACCAGATGGTGACATCAGCCACAAAAAAGAACGAAGATGCCTAACAAAGCATGTAATTGCGAGGGCTGCACTAAAAGTATCGGGAATAGAATATTTCCACTGTTCCTGTCATATTAAAATCTTTTTAATTGAAAAGTCCTTGGTTTTAAAAATCGAATACCATTTATTTATTTAAAAAAAGATTCTCGGTTTTGCCACAAGATTTTATCAAACTTGTTTAGTCGTTGAGAAAATGGAATTGACTCGAGAAAATTCAAGAGCGATGATTTATTATGACTTTCGAAGTGGTTTAACACAAAAACAGTGTGTTGACCCGATGATTTCTGCTTTTGGTGATGAAGCCCCATCCAAAACCACAATTTATCGCTGGTTTGCTGAATTTCAACGTGGACGTGTCAAGCTTAGTGATGATCCCCGTCAAGGTCGTCCAAAAACTGCAGTCACCCAAGAAAACGTTGATGCTGTGCGTAAGCTGATTGAGGAAGATCGACATGTGACATACCGCGATATTCAGGCAACTTTAGACATTGGCATGAGTCAAATACAAATAATCTTGCATGAATAATTAGGTGTAAAAAAGTTGTTTTCCCGATAGATACTGCATTCGCTCTGTGAAGAGCAAAAAGCGGCTCGCGTTACTTGGTGCGTCAGAACTCTCGAAAGATTCCACGCAGGATCCTCAAATGCTGTATACAACATCGTATCAGGTGACGAATCCTGGATATATGCGTACGAACCCGAAACAAAAAACCAGTCACGAGTTTGGGTTCGTTCACGGAGTGTTGCAAAAAAAATGGTGGCCACGTTTGTCTCCAAAACCGGCTATGTTACGACTATTCCTCTTGAGTGACAAAGAACGGTTAATGCAGAATGGTATGCCAGCATTTTTGCCACAGGTCCGTAAAGAGAATTGCAACCGCCGCATCATCCTCTATCGCAACAATGCGAGTTCTCACACCGCACACAGAACAAAAGAGTTTTTAGAGCAAGAAAACATAGAATTATTAGACCATCCACCGTACAGCTCCGATCTAAGCCCTAATGATTTCTATACTTTCCCTAAAATAAAGAATAAATTGCGTGGACAGAGATTTTCATCACATGAAAAAGCTGTGGACGCCTACAAAACGGCCATTTTGGAGACCCCAACTTCCGAATGGAATGGTTGCTTCAATAATTGGTTCCACCGTATGGAAAAATGTGTTAAATTTCGCGGAGAATACTTCGAAAAGTAATAAATATATTTGACGGCACCTGCACCGTTGTAGATGCGGTGGCGTCGGTCTAGCTAGACAGAGTTCTTGTAAACGACACGTGTACCGCACACCTGCGGCATTGCACCTGCGTTGCCGCCCGTCCTGCTTGTATAAAACGGACTGAGCGGCCGCCGTTAGGACAGTCTTGGCTCTGACGTGGAACGGTACACTTGTCGTATTCCGTTACTAGTTTATCCTCGACTCATTGGATAATTAATTCGTGTAAACGAATTAATTATTATTCCTAGCTACAAAATTAGTCTCTGTACTATACCCATTATACTTCCTACACATTTTTAAATAGTAATGTTGTGTCACTTCCTCGATTCCCGAAATTTTCAGTGCCGCCCTCGTATACTCTCTCTCTCTCTCTCTCTCTCTCTCTCTCTCTCTCTCTCTCTCTCTCTCTCTCTCTCTCTCTCTCTCTCTCTCTCTCTCTCTCTCTCTATACACCTTTGACCGGAACACAGCAGTACAATCACTGCTATTTGGCGGCAAAAATAGGTAAGAGGGTGGTATCTACCTAGATGGCCTTTTAGACAGAAAAGGAGTACCACCACCTAGTGAAACTAAGTTTAGTTACTAGTATAAAAGGGTTCCAAAAGCAGGCAAATACAATAATAGATAAAACTTTTGCAGCTAATAAGCGCCGCAAATTGGTAATACCTTGTCACATTAACGTCTGCAGTAAAAAGTACAGTGAACAATAAAGAATTATATTTATGATATATATAACCGATTTTAACATAAATAGTTTCGACGGAAAATGGCGGCCAGGGGCATTAGTAACTTGCGGAGCGTTTACCAGAAAAATCGATGCAACATACTTTTCTAATAACTAAAATGCTTAAAAAGTAACCAAAACTCGCCTGTGTTAAGAACTTTTTTATTACAGAATATGGGTAACAAACGAGCACACCTGTCCACTTGATGGTAAGTTTTAACAAACTTCTGTTGTTAGATACACACCAATATAATATTGACAGATAGATCCGATCCCCTCATATTAGAAATTATTCGCATCTTCATTTCAACAGTTGATGGTATATAATATGTGGTTTTATATTGGTTTGTATACATTTGTGCTCAGGTCGTCAAAAGTTTGATCAGTTGGTGTTATATATGTTACAAGTATGTGAATTTAAAATTTGATCAAAGGTGTAAAATTATTGGCATAAATATTTCTATACTTCGCAGTGAGGAGCGTGAATGGCGACAATGGGCGGATCGAGTTTTAGTCCATACCCTGTCACCCAATGTGTACCGCACTGCTGGTGAAGCCCTGGAAACTTTTAAGTGGTTTGAGGAAGTAGGCGGTTGGAGGCAGTCCTTCCCAAGCTGGGAGTGTATCTTGATGGTATACGGCGGAGCCGCTGCTATGTGGATGATAGCCAAAAGACTTAAGGCCAGGTAAATTAAATTATTATTAATGTTTCAACAAAAGGTCAAATCCTTACTTGCGCCCGGACAGACAGGCAGACAAAATGGTTATTTATGTCTAAATAGCAATTGATTCGACATTACAGACAGTTTATGAGTTTCTAATAATAATTCCTTTTTTCTCGTTTGTTTGTAGGCATAATATAAAGGATGATGTCAGACAATCATTGTATGATGCAGCTTGTACCTGGATGGATGCTGTGAAAAAGAAAGGTACACGTTTCTTAGGCGGGGAACAGCCTAATCTAGCTGATGTTACTGTATATGGTGTATTGAGCAGTATAGAGGGTTGCCAAGCTTTCAAGGACCTCAGAAAGAACACTGATATTGGATTATGGTACGACGAGATGAGGAAAAACATGGAAAGTAAGAGAGGTAGAGCTCTGGCCATTAATGCTTAAAGCCTGTAATACTTTTTAAAACAAATTCAATGCCTAGACTGGCACACGTTGATGACATTGAATAAAGTTGTTGTAGCTTAAAGAATATAACACTCGTTTTGTTTGAGATATTTTAATAAGGATGTTGGAAGCGGATAATAAAAAAAATTGTCAATTTTAAATCATGTTGAACATTTTTCCTTCGACAAGTTCATTCAACAAAATAATTTAGGATATTTTTTTCCTAATTGTTGAAAATTCCGAAAAAAGTCATAAAGCAATTTGATACGCGTCCATTTTGCTAACTATACTCAAAGTACCATTTAAGTACTGAACACAAATAAAACATGGAAGTATTACTTTAAGGGCGTAAGATGGCACAAACATTTTCTTTTAACAGCTGTTTACCTAACAGTTCATTACCGTTCATGTTGTCAACATGGCGACAGTTCATACACGTTTAATTACGATTCGGAGCTTGCAGTTAGAAGTTAACCTTATTGTTTACAATTTAAGTCGTTTACAATATTTATACAACGCCATTGTGCTCGTCCTCCGGAACATTTTATGTAATAAGTGCGATGCAAATTATAATAAGTCAGTATGATAGTGAGTTGTCAATTGGCACATTGAAGTTTTATTGATTAACAATGACCATGTTACTGACTTTTTGATAAAGTAGAGCAAATAATTCAGTATAATTAATTGTAATAAATGTATTGTAAATTGAAAATAAACATTTTATTTTCAATTAACAACACACTTTTTTGGTACGTATACATCATTGTATATTTTTCAAAAATAGTAATATTAAATAGATATTTATACTATAGTAAAAATAGCTACTTTAGATAAAATATTTTCTTCGTGCTATATTTTGCTTTAGCTTCTATCCAAGACTAGTCATCTGTGCAGGACAGGATTATACGACCAGAGTGTATGTGCAAACACAAGTGCACTCTCCATTTCCTTACTCTCATAGTTCCATGGGATGGCTAACCAACACAAAACTAACGGCTTTACGTGTTTTCTAAGGCAAGGAAGTGAAACATCGCCGACTTCCTGACTTTAGACTGCTACTAAGGATTCTTGACAGAAATCAATAATTTATTTTTATTTGGCTCGACTCTGAATTCGAACCCGGAACCTCATGATAAATATTCGCGTTTACGACCATGAGACCAACGAGGCGATAGAGAGCAGATTTTTAATAGAAATAAGAGAAATAACGTGGTACACTCATTCGATAACTGATTCTAGTGTTATTTTTATTTAAATGTGATGTTTTGTACACTATTTCAATGCACAAAAAGACATTTTTAATACCTAGTACGCAAAAATCAACCGCCGACAATGACTGCTACAGGCGATCTAAACTCGTTCGCAGGGCAATTGGTAAGCCACGCCTGCCGCAGCTAAAAATGCATTAGGTAGTTTTATGGAGCTAGGAATGCTTCCATGTTTTATTTGCGTTCACTGCATTGAAGTCATGAAATTTTCGTCCAAATACATTTATTAATCCATCAGTAACTCCGATTTACTGAATTTATTTATTTTAAATGTTAGCATGTAACATTGTTATTTGCTCTGTAGTTGCAAAAAGTATTTTATAAATTATTATTACAGTAAGAGGTTAGTAATAATACTCTTGTGATTTTATTTAGTCATTAAAACATTGTTATATTAAAAACTATTATTTTATTTACTAACACTATTGTACATATCTGGTCAAAAAGTAAACTAAGTTGTATGTCTGACATACGGAACAAACAGAACATATTTAAAAAAAAATCAAACAATATATTAATCAAACATAATATATTTACACATTATTATAATATTGAGTCAATTTGCAACCAACCAGCAATGGCATAACACCTAATCATACCGTAAAGTCAAAGTCATTTAGATATATCAGATATATCTATATCATAAATTAATTTTTCTTGTTCGTATTCTATGCGCAGCCATACCATTCATCAGATTGCGCTAAAACTTTGTAAACTTATTAAATGCTCATGCGCGAAGGTTATAGGCATAGTACAACTAACTTACAGCAGGTGCCGTGGGTATCATAGCGACAAATTCAAACGAAATTTATATATCATACAATTTCAATGTATGTAATATTATCATTCCAATTAAACGATACAACTGTTCCAAATTTAAAACGATATTTCCGCAATTATTTCTTCTGCGGCTGCAACGCGCCAGGTACCAGCTAGTTTAATATAATTTAATCGCTTAATTTTAAGTAAGCAACTGTTAATAAAGTATCAAATGCCAAACTTTTCTGTAAATCACTTTTATCATGCAGTGTAAGGGTGTACCCACAATAACAATACAAAATAGTTCACTTTTCAAATAAAGACTACCTTTAACCAAAATATAACCCCAACACACTTTATAACTTAATTTTATTATTAATAATAAATTCTGTGATATGAAACACGTTCCATACAAACAAGAGAAATTTAAACTTATTATATATTAAGAAATAAATCGATTAATGAATATTAAAATTGTACAGTTAGTGTTTAATGCCACCAAAATACCACCAGACCAGACAGAAAAAGAGACTCCGAGGTGATTATATAAGTGTTTCGTGTTAGTGTCTTTGAGCACGTAATTGTAAAAACATAAGTAGAGAAGCAGCAGTTTAATGATGGAATTACATGCCTCATGGTAGTTTATCTATGGATGCATTTGTTAATACGTGAATGTATTTTGCCTGTAAAAAAAACGTGAAATTTTCATTTTATTTTAGAATATTACGTGAAAGTTTCATTTTCCTCTCTTTTTCTAAAATATTTGGGATGATTAAGGTAGTATATATTACATGCTCTAAACATCATAACAGTAGTATAAACTTTATCTATTGTAGTATGTGGTTGTAATGCGATTCGAGTTATGACGCCGTTATCTTTGCTTTAACATTTTACAATTTAACAAGCGATTTGCGTGTAAACGAGTGAAAATCCTCGATTAGCGACGTCAGGCGGGGTTGTAGCAGTTGCACCTTCGTTGCCGTTTGTCACGACGTAAAGGACGAAAGGCTTCGCTGTACCTGCAAAAATTACAATTGAGTGATTTTGGCGACAGAAAAAATCCATTACTTGGAATAAAACAAATTAAAGGATTTTATCGCGTTTAATTTTAACTTTTTTAATTCCTGACGTTTCGGGTTTATGTGTAGTTATCGCGTAAATATAAGAAATCATTATGTGAATCCATCACTTTCGTAATTGTAATCTTAAACGAGTCCACTATGTGAAACGGTAGAAATATTTGTGGTCTCCGATAGAAAGCATAATCGTTTTTGTAATTCCTCTACTTTTTGCCAACCCTTTTTTACATACGAAACAAATGGTTTGCTTTGTTATTTGTAATGCGCCATCGACCACTAGTAAAAAACTAGATACACAATCCCATGCAAAAGTTCTCTAAAAACGGTCGCCAATTGTTTTGACGTAATTTTAGTTGAAATAAATATACATTAATGTAAATTCAACCTTAAATGCATTGCTTGAAGTTGTATTCACAAAGTACGTACAAATTAAGAGCGCATCCACGCGCACCACTGAAAGAAGATGTAGTGACAAAAATTGAGAAAGGTATGTTGAGATGGTTTGGCCATGTCGAGAATGAAGTTCTTCATTCATTCTCGATTGACGAAAAAAGTGTATAAGGCGAGTGTGAATGAAAGTACTTGAAGGGGTAGACCTAGGCGGACATTTCAAGACCAAATCAGGGACGTCTTGAAAAAAGGCCAGGTCAAGAGCACCCAAAACCGTAGAGCATGTATGAAGAGAATAATGAAAGTGGACGAAGCGAAACAAGTATGTAAGGATCGTAGCAAGTGGAAAGAAGTAGTCTCTGCCTACCCCTACGGGAAAGAGGCGTGATTATATGTATGTATGTATGTATGTATGTACCCAAATGTTCTAGTGCGCGCTCATTCGGTTAAGACATTTTTTGTCACTATGCTATGCGCATTACATCGATCACTATTAAAAAATTTGATACACTAACATTACATCGATCACTATTAAAAAAATTTGATACACTAGTGTATCAAAGTTTTTAATAATGATCGATGTAATGCGCATAGCAATGGAACTGCATCTATCTTTTCATACACTTACAACGTGTGTGTCTTCAAGGCAAGAGTGCATCAAATTTGGTTAAGCCAAATCAGTAAGTGTGAATTTTACCATCCTTGGCTACATCATCACTTACCATCAGGTGGGATAGTGGACCGGCATAAAATAGTTAAAAATTATAGTTTTCTTCTATTACCTATCAAGATCATCTGATATAACGTCTTATATTTTCAAAATACATATCTCCGTAAATGGGTTAAACATCGAATGGTTTTGCGTCGTTAATAATTCTACTGTTACTTTCTACTTACTTTGAACGGTGACAAATCCGAGACCACAAAAACGATCGTTGCCGACTGACGCACCGGTGGTCCCGACCGTCGGATTAGGAATAACCACGAAATCAGTAGTACAAGTGCCACCGTTCAAGGCACCTACTTGTGTACCGAGAACAGTGTTGTCGGCTCCCTCCACGTCGCCGGTCACAGTGAACGAAAAGGCATCATTTGGGGCCTGCGAATTTTTAAAAGCTGTTAGTGATAAGGTTAATGGTTATTGAAGAATGATTACTGACATATGCCGTGCCGTGTAGCCATTTCGTTTCGTAAGTGTAGTAACGGGCGACCTTTTTTTTATAGAATAAGTGACAAACGAGCACACAGTCGACCTGACGGTAAATGGTTGCTATTACGCGTGTTCTCAAACGCTTCTTCATGCCAAGGGTTGTACAGGATTTTGCTTAAGAAGCTTTTAGCCAAAAGATTATGTATTACGATCTACGTATGCTTCTATTACGTAATTAATTTGACGATGGCTTATAAATAATTAAATAATAGTGCTAATAATGTACCGATTGACTTATTACCATCAGGTGGTAACTTACATATAATTTGAAGACTTTTTTATTTTTGTTAATCT